CTTTAACTGCCATGGCTCAATGCTATGGAATTCTGGAGTTTGTAGTTTATTGTGGCACCAGAGTTCTCTGACTATGGTCCAAAACACATTGAAGTAATAATCCAGTTTGAGACGGTTTTAACTTCCCTAGCTAAGTGCTAGGGAATTCTAGGAACTGTAGTTTTGTGAAGCATTTAGCCATCTATGTCAGAGAGCTCTGGTGCCATAATAAACTACAATTCCCAGGATTCCCTAGCCCTGAGCCAGTACAGTTACAGCAGTTTCAAACTGGATTATTTCTGCAGTGTGTTTTGGACCTATGTGACCATAAAAGTAACTAAATATCACACTTAAACCACTAAAGGAGTTACCCTGTCCCTGGTTATGTGACTATCATAATATGGGTTGCTTAGAACCTTGACATGAGTAAAAGAACTAAACAAGCTATATTATAATTTTTGTTTGGCTTTCTGGCTGTAGATACAACCAGCCACTTTATAATACCTTTTCATCCTGCTATTTTATTATTAATGCTTTTGATTTATTGGTGTAATGCTGCTATTTTATTATAGGTATTTTGTATATTTTGTATTTTGTATATTCATTTTTACTGTTGTAATCCCACCTCAATCTGCAGGGAGAGACGGAAAATATAAATAAAAATTATTTATTATTATTATTATTATTATTATTATTATTATTATTATTATTATTATTTGCAAGTGATGTTGTTTATGACAAGTTACTTCTAAGCACTGAATTTTGGTATGATTATTATATGGCTCCAGTCAAGCCTCTTCAAGTATGGTGTTTTATCGATGTGTGGGTGCATAATAATACATAATGCAATCATAGCTCTAGTGAAGATTACTCTTTTGCATAGTTACACATGGATAATGGAATTGGGGCTGTATCAGTAAACATATTCATTGTTTGAACTAAGTCACATTTATAGCCATTAAAATGGCAGCCTTAGTGCTTGTGCATATCCACTTGTGTCCTTGGGTACATCTGCATTGCAAAATTAATGCAGTTTAATATCACTTTAATTGCCATACCTTGACAGGACTATTCACATAGTCATAAGCCAACATTTTTCAGAAGGCATATTTCCCTCCCTCCTCCCACGTTCCTAAAAAAGAAGGTCACCTTGCTGAATTTTCTCTAAGTATGTTGTGCCATTTTTATGGTGGCTACCATTTTCCCTTCACTAACTTGGGTACAGAAAGTCCATGCCAATGAGAAAAGACATCAAAGTGCTGTAACGCCGGTAAAAGAAGAACATTCAAATTAGAAGCCAGAAGGGCCAGTGAACAATTTGTTTTCTTTAGACACTTGACATTCATTCTGTTCAGCTAATCAATTCCTTATAGAGATTGAAAGTTCTCTCTGCTTCCTTTGGATCAACATATCTTTACAACTGAGCTCCAAAAAAGTGAATCACTTCTGATGACTTTCAGCTTCCCAATAGTTGGGAGATATATAGAAATGATCTCTCTGAACTTTATTTAAATATCACGGGATGGAGGAACCAGCATGAATATTAACCAACTGTCTGCAGAAGGGTACAAGGAGAGATACATAGAAGATCATGCACATTTAGAAAACAACCTGGAGATCTGAATAGAATGTACACCAATGAGGGCTGATTAAATTTATGGTCTATGTGCAAAAAACATGAGGATGAGATTTATAAACCCTGAATAAATAATAGCAGAAAACAAAAATTATGACCACAGATGATCTACATAATTTTAAAATGAAGACTATGAAGAGATCAAAATAGTTCAGGTTTTTCCATACTTGGGCTCAATCATCAATCAGAGTGGAGACTATGATGTTTGTTGCACTTTTTAAATAATCCAATTTACCTCTTCCATTTTAAAGTGAATGGAGGATGCAGCTGGGTATTAACACACATAAAATACCACCAAAGCTGCTGCCCAACTGCATCC